TTAGATTTCAATTCCGCAAGAGTTTTCAAGATGCTTTTTCAGTTTTTATTTTTTATTTTGAGGATATCTGTAGTCATAACCCTTTTTGTTTTATCATTGGTACAGTAGACAAGTTGAAAGAAGCTCACTCTGGCTTTTACGCCAATGAAGGGGTAAAAGGAATGTGCAGAGTGAGGGGTCAGTGTAAATGCAGGGGCATGATACACACTTTATACAAAGAGCTGTAGAGAGAGGGGAGATACGTATACACATATGTCACATGGGATTAAGACCTTCCTCTCTTCTCACCATCTGTCTTTTTATCTGTTACTCCTCTTTTCCTCTAATCAACAAGAGAGCGCAGTGACATAACCTCAACACATCCACAACATGTTTTTAAACATGTTTTACTGACATGACAGGTATGATGAGTATAACTTTAGCTGGATAGAATTTCAGCTCCCGCACGTTAACAGTTAGGATGTAGATAATACATGGACAGACTGGTCAATGGTGTTAACAATAGCCTTTTATGATTTATTTGAGAGATGTAAGTACAAATACAGTTGAATACGGTTGATAATTGTTACTTATACTTTTCTTATAGCTTAGATGAATTTTCTATAAAATAAAATTAATTCTACTTGATCTAAACCGTTATTTATGGTCCACTGACGCGGCAGCAGGAATAAGCACCATGAAAGCATGTCCCATAATCACTGTCCTGTATTGTCAAGAAAAACTCCTGGAAAATGATTTCTTAAAAAGAGTGTGAACCCTGTATATTAATGAGTACAGATATTCATTTTACTCTGATGATACTTGTATAAAGTACATTATCTGTACTGTGTCAGCTGAGTACTTGCTCAATCCCAGTTAGTAGTATTCTTAGTTTCTGATACATTTGTGTCTGTAATGAACCACCTGCTGCAACCTGGAGGATACACTGCTTTTCTTTTAGTTTTTTTTCTTTTCGTTTGTTTATTTGTTGAAAACGATCAAGGTCATTCTAGGCTGTTGATGTTAACGCCCACTCGCCTCCAGGTAGCTGGTTACTTGTTCAGCTTCTGTCCCACTGCCTGCCACCTAATAGTGCTGCATGCTGTGCACAGTTTTACCTGCTTAAACAGTGGAAAGTGTAACACATCCATCAGGACCGCACGTTGCCAAAACACACCGCTTAACACAAAGAGCCCAGTTCTCACTACGAGGTGATAATGAGACAGATGAAGGTAGATTTCTGAATTTCTCTTAAATTCACTTTTATCCCTTTTGTTTTTCAGGACCTATACATTATCAGAAGATACATTTACAAAGATTGTATTTTAGTGGTTTTAGACACCTGTGCTTTAAATAAAAGCAGTGCCTTTTAATGGTAATAAAATAATACCATTAATAATGCTGATTGTTTGCCCCTTCTTTGTTTGATGGTCATTGGAAGAGATTTATTTTTTAATGCCCACTGTCACAGATACAGTAGATACACACAAACACACGCAGATGGCTTAGAGCCAGGTTGGTTCACTGTGGTCTGCACACGCTATCTATGTTAAACAGATTTACTACTGTAAGACTCTCTCTTTTTCATTTGTTCACTCAATCTCTCCATCCCTGTTAATCCATTCTGTATCTGTGTGCGAGCAGTATTATAGTTTTTATGACTGTGCACAGGGAGACATGATAATGCCACAGGTTTGTCCTCACACACACTGCTTCAAGTTAAAACCTGTGCTAGAACAATTTCACTGTTGTGTTGCAGTGCGCCTGTATCCTTGTTGGTTGTGATGGTTCTTTAAAGCTGCATTTATTACCCCTATATTTATTTATCCTTTTTTGGGACCACTTTGAGCCATAAATACAACATTGACATATTAACATATTATAAAGTTGTATGGCAAACAATTTCCTATTTACAATGTCAGGATGCATTCGTTATGGAGTCACGTTTCTGGCCACCAGATGGTATCCAATATTCACTCTGCTTGTCTCACCCAACTCCTGAAAGAAATGTCTTTCTTCAGCTCTTTGATGGATTTATGTAAGCTTTTTCTACTAGAATAGCCGCCTGCTGCAGCCAAAGATTGAGTCAATGACAGCTGAGTTTACGGGTTATAAAACCAAAAGAGAGAACTACAAGAGGCTAAAAACCCCTGTAGAGAAAAGGGAAGCTCTACCATCAGATGATAATTCTCTGTGGGCCCGTCATTTGAGTCATTATTAATATAGAAATAGTGATTAATGCCGTTTTATGCTCCATAAACTTATATAAACAAATGGACACATTCAAGGCTCAGCTTCAAGATGGAAAATGTATTTAAATGTTATAGTTCATAAGTGCAATAATTAGTAATATCCACTAGCTGCACGATATAGTAAAACAAAAAGTCATGTTGCTTTTATTTTACAGATACAACGATCAGATATTATTAATAAGAATGATTTTTGCAACACAATTTTCATTTTCACTGAAAAACTATTATTATAATGATAATTACATTTTTTGGGGTCTGTAAAAATCAACATGTTTTTTTGCATCTGGAGCACAAGCTTTGTAGGCCATGGTACTTCATCATAATGCTGTTTGTCACACATTTTACCTTTATCAAAAACTACAATTTAAATATTGGACCATATTATTTCAATTAATTGTGCAACCCTAATGTCCACCAATGTCATTGACTAAGTTTACGTACACAAAATATTCCAGTCTTTGACCTTATTCCGAAAAAGACAATATTCCTACTAAGCTGTTTACTTGGCAAAGTGAATATTGAATATAATGAATATTCCTAATGTTCCCGTTCACATGCAGCTGTGCATACTAATCCTAACTTCTAATGACATACTGTACATCCTCCTTTTCCACCAGTGTTGGACTTGTTCAGTCGTGTGAACACAGCCTCCCTCTTTCATTCATTCAACCGCATTCGTGAAAAGATTGGCGTTGGGATATTTGCACAAAAACCTGTTGATATCCAATTCTTTCACAATGTTTAAAAGTAGGAGTGTTTCTCCTTCCAAACAGAAATTGGGCTTTTCTTTTGTGCGTGCGTCTCAACTCCAGCCTTGCAAACCTGGCTAGCTGGTTTGTTAATATAGAATATATATAGAATCAACTTTGTTATCACATATACAATCATACACAGTACAATGTATAGTGAAATTTGTCCCCTGCATTTAACCTTTCCTAAGTAGTAGGAGCAGTGGGGACCAACTTCAGAGATAAGCCAGTGGACAGGAGGATTAACCTAAAATATGATGATGGTGGGGTAAACTGGAGCACCTGGAGAAAACCCATGCAGACCCGGGGAGAACATGCAAATTCCACACAAAAAGGTCCTGTCCCTTCTTGTGGCAAAAGTGCTAACCACTGAGCCACCACGCTACCCCGACACCTAGATCTGACTGTAAGCAGGCAAACTGTGGTAAAAACACCAAATGAGACTCATATTCCGAATGTGCTGCATACATGTCCAAAGAATACTCCTAAAACCTGAATAATAAATAATTTACTTAATCTTAGTCTTAATCTGGAAATGCTCAATTTGGAATGAGGAACATTAGGAATATCCAAACGGAACATCCAAACGGAACATGCTGTTTATATGCCTCTTATATCGTCAAATTTAGAATAATAGTGGAAAATTAGTGTGGGTAAATGGACCTGTACTTGTATAGCGCCTTTCTTGTCTTCCGACCACTCAAAGCACTTTTACACTGCCACATTAACCCATTCATACACATTCACACACCAATGCACAGCATCAGGAACAATTCGGGGATACTCAACTCAAGGACATGTGGCGGCAGGAGCTGGGGACGAACCAACAACTTTTCCGATTAGAGTACGACTCGCTCTTCCTCTGAGCCACACCTTACCTTTTCTTTAACCTCTGCAGTTTACCACTTACCTTTGTACCATTTCAAGCTATTCATTGGACATGAACTGCTTGAATTACAATAAAAAAAACTGGAAAAATTGGGGTGTTCTAAAACTTTTCACCGGTAGTATACCTATACCTATAATGTGCTAGATTGTGGCTAAATAGTTACATGCTTAGTCAGCAGTAGTGTCTATAATGTGAATGTCTGGATATTAAATGTTCATCTGAAATATTCTATAGTGGTCCCAGTAATATTTGTTCAACTCCCTTATACATCTTAACGTCTCTCACTGTGCTCAGCTGTATTGGGAGGGGATTCAATTATTTCACCCGGCTGGGCTGGAGAATGATTCACACATTGATTAGTATAGAACACAAAACAGCAAGATGACATAAATCCACCAAGAGGGAGCATGCTCA